ACACACATGGGACTCGTAAAGCACGGAATTTGTTTTCAAGCGTTCATTTGATCCAGAGACGTGTAATGGAATGGACGAAAACCTGAGAATTACCTAATTTAAGATCCATATACGACGTGGCCAACATTAAGCCATCCGATCTCATCTCTTAAGGGTACTTCGAAGGAAAAGACCTCAGGTGGGAGTGGTGTTCCAGCCCTGCCTACTGCGTCCGCAAACACGCCACGTACACGACGATTCGTCTTGATCCCAAATTCGATTAAAACCTAGCCTTAAGGCATATAGATTTGCAATCTTAACCGCTGAAGCAAGCATATGCTTAAACATTAGTTCATTAACGCCGGCGAAGTTAGGCACTGGTCACAAATAATCCGAAGTATATTATTTTTGTCTATTTTTGTTGTCCTATCCATTTTTCTGGCTTTCATTTGCAGTTTATTCCATGATATTTATAATCGATAGCCACTTTCGCCATTGTTACGCTTGCTCTTCTTTTATTGTTTCCGGGATTATGTTATTTATGCGTCCATTTTTATTATCGCGTAGTTTTTCTATTTCCACTGTTTTAGTAGCTCCACCACATTATGCTTCCCTAGTTGTCTGCTACATACTGAATACTCTAAAGTTCAAGGTTTAGCAAATTTCTATTGAGAATCGGTCAGTAATGCAGTACTCCTAAGAGTACAGTATAAATCTGAAACCATATATACTTTTGTCTTTCCAGTATAGCGAGCTTTTGTTTAAGTCACTGGGCACAGTTATCGAGCGCTACTTGAATTCTTCCCTAACGTGCTTCGGCCTGGAATTTTCGGAGCAAAATGGGTCGTGTTTACGGTCACGGAAAGGGTATATCTCAGAGTGCTTTGCCATATAGAAGGTCTGTTCCTTCATGGCAAAAGCTCTCCGCGGAGGAAGTGAAAGAACAAATTGCTAAACTGGCGCGAAAGGGTCTTACGCCTTCTCAAATCGGTAATTCATATTTTTATTCTGATTAAAAAACAGGTGTGATTCTTCGTGATAGTCACGGCGTCGCCCAGGTTCGATGGCTTACCGGAAACAAGGTTTTGCGTATCCTCAAAGCTAAGGGCCTTGCACCGGTCATCCCAGATGATTTATATCACTTGATCAAGAAGGCTGTTGCCATCCGAAAGCACTTGGACCGTAACCGCAAGGACAAGGACAGCAAGTTCCGTCTCATCTTGACTGAAAGCCGAATTCATCGCATCGTACGATATTACAAACGGAAGCGCGTCTTGCCGCCAAACTGGAAGTATGACAGCTCCACAGCGTCCGCTTTGGTTGCGTAATGTATTGCACTAATACACTTGTAAAGGTGTTATTATCTCTTAAGTATGGTTTATATGCTCTGGACGCAACGGGGTTGTTTTTCTCTGCTCGGCCATTTCTGTTGCCTGAAGGTCCCTGGGATTGTCGCTCAAACGAACAGTCAGTTAGTTGAGGCCACGATTTGGGAACTTGGACACTTGCATTTTGATATTGAAGTTATCACACGCTTCAGTACCCGGGTTATCCCGGGAGCCCAGTGTATGTAGCATTAGGATCACTCTCATCAAGGCCCCTCGGTAGTTAGTTTTCTCAGATCAAACAAAATTTCGTCTTTTTCTCTCCTTCAATATGATATTTGTTCGTCTTTATATCCTCCGTTAACTGAGTGATAGGCTGTCATGTTTATTGATACATTATCATGCGACATAGCATTCCTGGTTAACCCGCCATCTATCACATGCACTTCTAGGGGGTGGCATGCTTTAAGGCTTT